GAAGACAAAGCACTACATGGCCAATACATGAAAAAAATAGCTGGGAAAGCAGATAATAATAAAACCTGGCAATGGCTAAGAGCAGGAAAATTGAAGAAAGAGACCGAGGGACTAATTCTGGCTGCACAAGACCAAGCCTTAAGGACAAATGCATACAAAGTCAAAATTGAGAAGACAGCAACAGACAGTAAGTGCCGCCTATGCAAAGAAGCTGAAGAAACAGTGGACCACTTGGTAAGCTGTTGCAAGAAGATTGCACAAACTGATTACAAGCAGCGGCATGACAAAGTAGCAACAATGGTGCATTGGAAGATCTGCAAAAAATATCATTTGCCTGTAAGCAAAAACTGGTGGGATCATAAAATAGAGAAAGTCATAGAAAATGATAAAATTAAACTGCTCTGGGACTTCAGAATTCAAACAGACAAGCACCTGCAACATAACACCCCAGACTTAACAATTGTCGATAAGAAAGACAAAAAAGTCTGGATAGTGGACGTGGCAGTGCCTGGAGACAGCAGAATAGACGAGAAAGAACTGGAGAAGATAACAAAATACAAAGACCTACAAATAGAAATAGAAAGACTGTGGCAAAAGCAAGCAAGGGTAGTACCAATAATCATAGGCTCCTTGGGTGCAATCCCAAAACAACTGGAGCACCACTTGAACACAATTGGCATTGACAAATTCGCTATTAGCCAATTGCAAAAGGCGGCCTTATTAGGAAATGCTTCCATCCTGCGACGATATCTGTAATACCATCAAACATCCACATCTGCCTATCCCAGGTCCTGGGTAAGGACTCAATAGGTAGACAAAATGCCAAATCCAGTCTGAACATCTGGCTGACTGTGCGATGATCGATAATAATAATAATAATAGAAGAAGAAGAAGAAGAGGAGGAGGAGGAGGAGGAGGTAGTAGTAGTACTAGTAGTAGTAGTAGTTGGAAGGGACCTTGGAGGTCATCTAGTGTCCAACCCCTGCTCAGGCAGGAAACGCTATACCATTTCAAACAAATGGCAGACCAATCTCTTCTTAAAGACTTCCAGTGTTGGAGCATTCACAGCTTCTGGAGGCAGGTGTTCCACTGATAAATTGTTCTGTCAGGAAGTTTCTCCTTAGTTCTAGGTTGCTTCTCTCCTTGATTATTTCCATCTGTTGTTTCTTGTCCTGCCTTCAGGTGTTTTGGGGAATAGCTTGACTCCCTCTTCTTTGTGGCAGTCCCTGAGATATTGGAACACTTCTATCATGTCACCTCTCATCCTTCTCTTCATTAGACTAGACCAGGGCTTTTCAACCTTTTCACCATTGTATCGCTTTTAGGATATGGCAATATCTGAATATCACCAGTCGCCTAGCAAGGTGTCAAAAATTTGATGACCAAAAAAAAAAAAAAAGGAAAAAAGTGATGAAGTACAGGTAGTCCTCGACTTACACCAATTCACTTAGTGACTGTTCGAAGTTACAACAGCACTGAAAAAAGTGCCCCCCAAGGGACAGCCGAGCAAGACACCTGCCTGCCCGCCCAGCTGCGCTTTTCCTCCTGTCCAATGTTTTCATTGTTGTGAACATTTCTGTTGAGGATTGGCAGTGAGGGTGGTTTTTATTCTCCCCGTCTGCTGGGTGGTTGCAGCAGGTTTTCATCACTTCACGTGACCCTGGGACACTGTGACCGTCATAAATATGAATCAGTTGCCAAGCATCTGAATGTAAATCACCAGACCCTGGAGATGCTGATACATTCCAGCTGATCAGCGCTTCTTCTGGGCTCAGCAAAAGTGCCAGGATCAGTGCTGCTTTCCAGCTGATTGGTGCTTCTTCTGGGCTCAGCAGAAGCGCCAGGATCAGTGCTGCTTTCCAGCTGATTGGTGCTTCTTCAGGGCTCAGCAGAAGCACCAGGATCAGCACCGAGCTCTAGCTGGAGCCTGGCACTGATCCTGGCGCTTCCGCTGAGCCCTGACAGCCCCGAAGAAGCGCTGATCCTGGCGCTTCCGCTGAGTCCTGACAGCCCTGCAGCTCCAGCCATCTCTCGCTCAGGCTTGTCCGGTGCTGCCACTGGTTCAGCTCATTCCCCTCCCCCACTACCATTTTTCTAGGATGGTTGTGTACCACCTGCCAGGTGCCAATGTACCACAGGTGGTACCCATACCACTGGTTGAAAAGCCCTGGACTAGACATTCCCAATTCCCATACCGTTCCTTGTATGTTTTAACCTCCAGTACCCTGATCATCTTTGTTGCTCTTCTCTTTCTAGAGTCTCAACGTCTTTTTTACATTGTGGTGACCAAAACTGGATGCAGTATTCCAAGTGTGGCCTTACCAAGGCATTATAAAGTGGTATTATCAGTTCACGTGATCTTAATTCTATCCCTCTGTTAATGCAGCCTAGCACTGTGTTGGCTTTTTTGGCAGCTGCAGCACATTGCTGGCTCATATTTAAGTGATTGTCCACTAGGACTCCGAGATCCCTCTTACAGTTACTACTATTGAGCAAGGTACATCCTAAACTATACCTGTGTGTTTGGTTTTTCTTGCCTAAATGTAGAACCTTACTGTTTTCACCATTGAATTTCATTTTATTAAATAGTGCCCAATGTTCATGTCTGTCAAGATCCTTCTGTATCTTAAGCCTATCTTCTGGAGTATTGGCTATTCCTGCCAGCTTGGTGTCGTCTGCAAATTTGATGAGCTTCCCATCTATCCCCTCATCCAAATCATTGATGAAGATGTTAAAGAGCACTGGGCCCAGAACAGAGCCTTGGGGCACCCCACTACTGACTTCCCTCCATGTAGATGTAGTTCCATTGAGGACCACATGCTGAGTACGGCTGGTCAGCCAGCTACGAATCCATCTGGTGGTGATGCTGTCTAACCCACATTTTTTTATCTTATCAAGGAGTAGGTTGTAATTTATTTTATCAAATGCCTTACTGATGTCCAAATAAATTATATCCACAGCATTCTTCTGGTCCACTAATTTTGTCACCTGGTCAAAGAATGTGATAAGATTTGTCTGGCATGATCTGTTTTTGACAAACCGATGTTAGGTTTTGGTAATGACTTTGCTTGCCTCCAGGTGTTCGATGATTGTTGTTTGATTATCTTTTCCATAATCCTCCCAGGTATTGAGGTCAGGCTGATAGGCGTGTCAATTCCTGGATCCATTTTTTCCCTTTTTTAAAGATGGGAACTACATCAGCTCTTTTCCAGTCCGCCGGCAGTTCCCCAGTGCTTCAGGATCTTTGGAAGATATAGTTCAGTGATTCTGAGATCACACCTGCTAGTGCCTTCAGAACCTTGGGGTGTAATCCATCTGGTCCTGGTGATTTGAACTCATCTAGGCTGGACAGGTGCTCACTTATCATTTTCTTGCCTATCTTAACTTGTGTTTCTAATCTGTTTTTTTATGATACTGTTTTTAATAGGTTGGGTTGTTTTTTCCCTTTGTGTAAAGACGGATGCAAAAAATGAGTTAAATATTTCTGCTTTCTCCCTGTTGCTTGTCATCTTTTTGCCACTTTCTCCCATTAATGGGCCAGTCATTTCCTTGACTTTTTTCTCTTTTTTTACATGTTGAAAGAAACTTTTTTTGTTATTTTTGACTTTTGTTGCAAGCCTTAATTCATTTTGAGCCTTAGCTTGCCTCACTTCATCTTTGCAGGCTCGGGCTATTTGCTGATATTCTGCCTTAGTTATGTGTCCTTCTTTCCACTTGTTATGCTTGTCCTTTTTGTCAGAGGACAAATATAACAAAGAACTAAGTGAAAGTTCTACAGATAAACATTGAAAAAATAGTCCACAAATTGATTATATATAAATGGCAGCTCTATAATCTGCAACACAGTACTATGTAAAGCAAGGGTGTAAATTCCACTAAAATTAATAAAACTGCGCTTTCCCCCCAATGTGTATGGAAACTAGTGACACTAGACTTGGTTCATTTGATTATATACTATGTTTCCCTGAAAATAAGACCCTATTGGAAAATACGCCCTAGCATGATTTTCAGGACACTCATAATATAAGCTTCACCCCCAAAATAAGCCCCAGTTAAGATCGTCAGCCAGATGAATGCATTTAGTTCCGTATTTCCCCGGAAATAAGACCTAACCGGAAAATAAGCCCTAATTCATCTTGTGGAGCAAAATGTAATATAAGACCTGGTCTTATTTTCCAGGAAACACAGGTACATTGAAAAGTCTGTAAAACATCCTGCAGCATAAGCTCTAACCCAGCGGCCCCCAACCTTTGGGCACCCGGGGCCGGTTCCGTAGGGAGAGGTTTTTCTATGGACCGCAGGGTGCGTGTGGTTTCATATGTTGCCTGCATCCTGCAAATACGGCTTCACTTGTTTGCACGGCCTGATTTCTAGCATGCCACGGCCCGGTGCCAGTCCTCAGACAGATGGTTTATAAATATGATTCATGGCTTAGAGTGATTCATAATTCAAGATAATGGGTTATTCAGCAAACCATGTTCAACAAACCATGATTTAGTGTGATATGCAAATCTACCTGAAAGGATGTTTCAAACAAATAGACTTCCATTTGTTGCCTTGAGGAAAGATAAATAAAATTATTTTTTGTTAATATTATTAGATAATTCCTAACCTGCCTAGAATTCAAATGTTGACCTGCAGGAACTGAGCTGCTCTGTTTAGAAAATGAGGCTTGAAAAGAACATAAGTACAAAGTCCCAATCTAATTTAGAAAGTGTCCTCTGCCTGAGCAGCAGTCCAGCCCAAACCCTGTTTAAATATAATAAAGGATAACAAGAGCAGGCAGAGGCCTTCAACAGTTAAGCACTATGACAAGTGACTGAGCCCAGGACACTGAGACAAACTTCATCAGCATAACTTTATATGTAATTAATATGATAAGATTTTTTTTCTAAATTTTTAGCTACAGAAATCATTTGACAGAAACAAATATATACTATTTGTTTGCTGTTCTTTCTGTTTTGATAATGTGTTTCTGCTTTCTTTGGCTTAAAATCATAACAGAAATTTGTTTAGCTTATATATAAGTTACAGCAGTTAAAGTCAGATAGCCAACCAACCTGGTTTGTAGAAACTTCTAGGACCTAGGTTCACCTTGTTATCTGACTGTGTTGTTGGTTTGTTGAAAGAGGTCATTGCACAGGTTTATTTTATAAATCCTAATACAGTAAAGTAAATCATGGAACAGTAGGATTCAAGAAAAAATTCACAGTATGAACTAGTACACACACTCTTAATAGTCTGCAAGCTTCAAACTGTACAGGTAATCAACAGAAAAGTTGCAATATAATGAAGAACATTCATTCACATTCTTTTTTCCCCTGATGATGAAGAACAGACATTTTAACCTGGCTAGATTAGCAAGTAGATGAATTAGGTCTTCCCACAACACCAATCATTTCATTAATAAATTGGTTCTGATGCTGAGACTAAAGAGAAAATTAGTATAAAATTATCCTTTGCTGTGAAGGCTGCTTCTCTGTCCTAATGAGAAAAAAATTAGCACAAAGATAGTGTGGTGCTGTGGTAGTTTACTTTAGTAGATATAAACCAAAACCCAGTTATCCTCAAGCTTCAACTCAGAATTGTATTCCAACAATTCCTGTTGTGTTGTAGTAGAGCCAGAAATGAATTGACTGTGTTGTTCACAAAGATGGTGGCATGTGATTAAACAAATGCACGACCAATCCAGAATTGTTGCAGGTGCCCTGTGGAGGTGACCTCTGTTTCCAAGTATTTTGGGGAAGAGAGCAAATAGCATATCAGAAGGGCTTGAAATGTAGTAGTGTCCTATGTATTGCTGAGCAATGGGGGAAGAGGAGGTTCAAGAATCATTACATTAATAAAACTCTATCTAGAAGAAGGCCAAATACATGAAATCACAGACAGGTTTCTGACCATATTAAGATGCAAAAATTCCAAGAAAGACAATTAAAAAAAAATCCCTTCATTACAGTTCTGAACAGCCTAAAATTATTTCTGCCTAGTAACAGTGTCCAGTTATAGAGATTGTCTTAATGTTTATTCATTCAGTAGTTTATCACAGTGATTAATGTAAGAAAGGACATAAAACATATCATAAAATACAATAAACACCTACTTTACAAATCATCATGATCATACTTTGATGTCTAAAACGAACATAGTGTTGTGTGCCTTTGGATCACACAAAATCATGAGGAGGATGGGGGAGAGATTGAATAGCAAATCCTCTCCTTTTACTGGAAGTTATAGTTTTTCACTTACACATATTGCCTCCCAATTTAGTAATCATTAAATGCTAGTCAAATAGAGACTTCTGCATAAAAAACTTAAGGCCAGACTGCACATATTTTTCAAAACTAGAATTAAAAAAATATTTTACATTACTTAGAGTGTAACTAAAAAACAATCTTACATTTTTAGTTTTGAAATTCATCAAGGGCAGACCTTAATATTTGAAAATGCAAATCTCACTTTGGTTAGATTTGATAAGATCCAGAATGCTCACTATGATTTTTGCAAGGCTCTGATCATGAATGCGATTGTTTTGAAATAAAAGCAGCCCAACTTGGTTTTTATTTTGGAGCAAAAATCGGCGTAGAGAAAAAGGGTTGTCATGCAAATATTGGCAAGGGCCTTTAGAACCTAGATATCCGGTTTTATGCATGCGTGCTGACAGAATATTTCAAGAATTACTATCCTGCGAGTTGGTAGGAGGGGCCTTCAAGCAGGTGGAGAGGTGGATGAGGCTCGCGAGCTTAACAGAAGGACTCGGGTTTGAGAAGAAACGGGTGGATCCTTTAAAATCCAAGTAGGATCCGGCAAAATCCAGCTTTTACCCACACCCGTTAATTGACCCCCACACAGAATTTAGCGCAGCTGCCCTGAGCCTATATTAGGCGGCCACTGAAGAGGAAAAGGCGGCGGCGGCAGCAGCAGGAGGAGGCGGGGAAGAAACAGCGAGCGAGCGACAGATAGAGCCAAGCAGCCTTCTACACCCAGTATGTAAACAATATATGGAAGTTATTAAGTAATCTTAAGCTAGTAAGCGGCAACAATCACTCGGTGCAAAGGAGGCCCCTGGCCTGAAGCACTCCCCCCCCCCAGTAACCCTTCCTTTTCCCTGCCCACAGAAGGGCCGACTGCCCGTTTTCCTAGCGGGCGAAGGGAGCAGAATCGGATACAGTCACACGCCGACAAGGAAGGAGGAGGCTGAAGGCAGCCGCCAGTACAGAAGAGGATGGATTTCCAGCAGCTGGCTGACGTTGCGGATAAATGGTGCTCCAACACCCCCTTTGAGCTTATTGCCACGGAGGAGACCGAGAGGAGGATGGATTTCTACGCAGACCCAGGCGTTTCTTTCTATGTCTTGTGTCCGGAGAACGGATGCGAAGACAATTTTGTAAGTAGAGGAAGAGGAGATGGGTGAACGAGCGAGCGGGAACTAGCGTTTTTTTTTTGACCGGGGCAAAAGGCTGGAGCGGGGAGGCTGCTCGCGGTTTTTGATTTCTTCCGAGTCCCATTCCTCTTTTCCCCGCTTGTTTGTGGAGATGGCGGAGGAGAGACGTTTTTCCTTTCTTCCCTCCCCCCCACCCACACCGAGTGGGAGGGAAGATGGAAGAACCTTCCATGGGTTAGAAGAGGGACCGCTGTCCTGTTTACTCTGGATCATTTTTGAGATGTCTAGGAAGGCATAATTCCACACTCTCTCTCCTCCCCCCCGCCCCCCAGAACACAGTGGAAATGTCACCTGCCTTTTTTATTCATGTTGGCCCTAGAAGGTTAAATGGTGAAGTGTGTCTGTGTTTTGGTATAGTATACATCATGGCCTATTGTGTCAGCTTAACATAACCGTTTACTGTAATTTTTCCCACTCATCCATTCAGCATGTGAAAGACAACATTGCTTGTTTGCTAAGGATTGTTACTTCTCTCAGAAGATATCCTAAATTCTGGTTAGCATTTGTCTCCCCTCAGGGCTGTTCTTTCAGAGTACCAGAGGAGGGTCTCAGGGGTTATGTAGAGTGCATTGTTTTCACCAGTATGTAATTTGAGCTTTGGAAGTAGAAGCATATCTGGGTTACCTTGAGAAAAGGAATTTCAGATATTGACTGAGTTCATCATAGTTTGGCTAAGGAAACCATATTTTATTCTGGTTTTCTAAACCTTGGCCACTTGAAAATATGTGGACTTCTGCTCCCAGAGTTCCTCAGCATGACTGAATGAGGAATTCTGGGAACTGAAGTCCACATATTATCAAGTTGTCAAGATTAAGAAACACTGGTTTACTCTGTTAACCAAGTACTTTATTAGCCTGTTCCATAACATTTTCAACCATATGACCTTGGTTTGTATAACAGTCTGGGCCAAACTACTTGGTTAGCTGTTACTGGTTTAGTATGTTATGGAAGTATCAATAGACAGTATGATTAGTTCTCAAGAATACTGAATATTATCTGAAGAGCTAAGAGTTCCCAAGTGTTACTCAATGCATGATTTTCTCCATTTGCAGTTATCTATAGCACAAGCATGGCCTAGCAACCTCCTTTTTCTATTTTCATCTGATGCCTGGCACATAACTGTGGTAGCTTTAAGCTATTCTTGAATATCAAAATAAGAGTTTTCTCCCCAAACAGGTTTTGCCATGGATACAGTCTGACTCATTTTACTAACAATTGGTCAATGACTTCTACAGAGTGTGATCAGCCTGGCACTTATTGACCACTTTAGATTAGCATGAATTTACCGCCTCCACTTCAAATCCTGGATACTGTTTTAAATGTCTGCTTTTGATAGGGAGCAAGTCTGGGCCTTTTAAATTCAGCTCACCCTGTTTGATCACTAGGTCTCAAACTGATCCTTGGGGCAAAAAACTGGATCAGCCTGAAAAGCAGCTGATCGGTTATTGTAATGGGATCCTACAGTAGACCAAAGAAAGAAAACTCACATTTCCTATGCCCTACATGGCACAATTCTTGCCATGCCTGTTTTCACACTACTTTTGAATGGAGTTTAATGGTGGTTAGGTCACTTTGAATGTAGCTGTCTATAATATTTGAGCAAGGCCAGAGATGTTTTGCCAGAAAGCTAAACCTCCGCAGTCTAGTCATCTTATTAAAACTTACTCTTTTTCCAGCTCTAGACCACATTAAGATGAAGATAGTAAATATCCCCCCCCCCACATGCATCAGTTGGTGACTTGGTGACTTGGTGGAGAGGGAGGGAAACAATGTATATTCCCTCTTCCCCCCCCCACCAAGATTTTTTCTGAAGGAACCTGTGTGGGAGAATGCTTTTGATTTTATGCCTTTAGTATTCTAAACAAGCAAATGATTTTAGGATGGGACATGCCTTCCTCAACCATGTCTGCTTGCCTGTAGAGCATGACACAGGTAGGAGATAGCTACTTTCTGCCAACAGCATGTCTTAGTTTGCCAAAGTAGCAAGTGTTCCACCCTTTCTCTTATAATAATAGAGGTAAAAAGCAAACCTATAGCAGAAAAAGGCAAGTTATTATATTTTGCTCCATAGCTGCTAATCTACTCTTTAATCCAAATTCTCTAGTCAAATTAGAAAGTTAAAATATAAAACCCATATTAAGCTAACTCAGGATCACAAAATAGTTGCAAACTTTGATTCCCCAGAACTCTTCTTTAGGGAGGGGTAAAAAGGAAAGGGTTGCTGGTCATTAGTCTGCCTTTAATTTCAGCTGCATGTTCCACTTCAGAAGCTAAGTATAAACTTTATAATAAAAACCATTAAGGGCTGAATTAGAAAACAGACTTTAAAAGTTCCAAAGGTGCTTTTTCAAAGCTTCTGGGATGAGAAGCAAAACATTTTCACGAAAACAAAGTCCAGTGGCCTTTTTGAAAAAGCACCTTTGAGATAACCATGACCTGGAGTCTGGACGATTGAGAATCTCTGTAGACTTTGAAAACTGGACACCACCTAGAGATTGCTGCAGAAATAAATGCAATAGGAATCCACTGTATGTCTTTTTTATATTTAAGTTTTTCCTGCTACCTTGAATGACAGTTGAGTGGCCAGTTTTGAAGGGTGTGTTACAATACCTAGAGCAGGGGTAGGCAACCTTGGCTCTTTTACGACTCAGGAATTCTAGGAGTTGAAATCCACGAGTCATAAAAGAGCCAAGGTTGCCTACCCCTGACCTAGAAGGTTGCAAGTTCTTGGTATCAATCAATGTAGGTCTTCAGATTTAGATGCAGTCTAACAAATCCACTATATTGACAATATGGGGTTTGTTTGGTTTTTTTTAGAAAAGTCGCTATCTTTTTGTCCAATGTATCTTACATGATTGTTGTGTTGGATGTATTACCTATGACTTATGGGCCACATCTGGCCTGTCCACTTATTGGATATAATTGCCAGAAAGTCTCCAAAGGTGGTTCAGGAATTTTAGTCTTTAATGTAAAAAGAGATGAAGATTATTACATGACATGAGCTATTGCCTTTTGAAAATGTTTCTAATTTTAACTGTAGTTAAATCAAATTTAAATTTTGTTGCATACCATTGCTTGCTTTTTGAAGTGCAACTATTGACATGGGATCCTGGTTCTAAGATTAAAGGAAATTGTGTACCAAGTTTTATTGAAACAAATGCAGATTAATTTAAAGTGTAAAAAGGAAAACCTAATAGTTAAATACTCGTTATGTAACAGATAGTGGAAAAATAATTAAAGAATTTGACTGGCTCTGACTTGTTGACCTTTAGTATAATTTGTGGCCTTGCAAATTAATTTAACATAGTGTTAGAATTCTTAAATCCTAAAAAGAAATTTATCTGTGGAATTGGGTATTACTGTGAAAAAAATTCTCAATGATATTGGGCCTTTTGAAAAGTAATGGAGCAGAGCTTATATAGAATTTGATATAATAATAGTGTCATCATAGCATGATTTTATCTAGTGAGTGTTTCTTAGTGAGCTTCTGTTTGGAAATATGCAACTAGTTAACTGAAATTACTCTAGTTAAATTCTACAAGAGCCGAAGGTGTTATGCTTCTCTGGGGTAGCCTGATTCTTAAATAAAAACATCAGAATCTGGGAGAAGCAGTGAGTCAGTGGGGTTAGGAGGGATAGAGCTTTTTAGAGGCCTCAGTGGATTCACAATGGTGTGTGGATTTTGTTTTTCCTTTTGGGAAGGTTTGGGTGAGTGCAGTAGTACCTTTTTCAATGGAGTTTGGCATGAAACTGCTCTGTTTAGTTAAGTACGGTATACAGTTTTGTTTTTAACTGAAGGGAAAAAAATTAACCGTGTTTACTTTTTTTTAGCTGTTATGGTGAAGCAAAACTACCCCTCCTTTTTTTTCCTCTTTGTTAGCAACCTTATGTATTTAACTGTGAATACTGTTACTTCAATAAAAGCACTACTTTTCTCTCTTAATTTAAAAGCAGCACCTAACTGTTTTTGGCTGTTCTTGAAAAATTCATGTAGGGTTGATCTTAACTGCTATTCACATAGGCCTTGAGGAAATCTCAGGGCTGTAGAATTAGATACGAAAGCCAGAAAACACTCTGGGCAAGAGCAAAATGACCATTTTACCTTCATTTAAAGAAAGTGATTTAAATACTTTTTGTTTCAATGCTGAATACATTGAATTTTTTTCCCCAAGGCTTTACTGACTTTCAACTAATTCTGTGACTAGTTCTACACATATTAACCTAGTGCTATTTCAATAATATACCATTAAATTTTCCATTCTTTCAGCATCTGTGAATGTGTTTAACCCTTGTACATTTATCACTTATCTTCCCATCTCATTCACTGTTAGCTTGCAGGTTTTCATCCATCTCTTCATAATTCATGATGCTTTCCTTTCTTTTTTCTGTTGTCGGAACTTGAGTGCTAAGTTCCTAGGTTATTAAGGAACAAGTCTTGAACTGCAGCTTAATTTCAGGATGAGATTCTGGCTATTAATCACTACAAAGCACAGCTTTTGATTTAGAAAAAGTATGGAACTTGTCCTATATCAAACTAAGATGTCCACTTACACCATCCTACAGTAGGGGGAAGGAAGGAATTCATGGCTGTAGTTTCAGTTTAGGGTAGTTTATGAACCTTTAAATAAATGTCCTAATATACAATTTAGATGGGGTGATGGTGGTATAATTTATGCCCTTGTTTATATCTGGGAATCCAGAAGATTCACTCTAACTCTTTAAAATATCCAGTTCTGCATGTTGCTGTTTTTCTTCCTCTTTCAAGTGTAGATTAATTACTATTTTTCCTTTTCAGCTTTCTACAGAACTATAATGGAATCTTTTCCAATGTGAATTTTTATTCATTCATCCCTCAATGGGCTTTACAAAGCATAAAAAGACAATCCCTGTCTGAGAATCTTACAATCTAAAATTCAATAGATTGGGGAAAATAAACTGAGAAAGGAAAGGGCAATGAAAGAAGATTAAACAACAACAAAAAGGAAACTGTCTTTATTTTACTTGCACATATTTAGTTCTACTGTTTTTCTTGGTGTAGATGAGCCATCAGTGATTGTTTTATTGAACAGATGTTATTCTATTCACTCCTAATGTGTTTAGACACCTTATAAACATAATAGCAATAGCACTTAGACTTATATACTGCTTCACAGTGCTTTACAGCCCTCTCTAAGAGGTTTACAAAGTCAGCATATTGCCCCCAACAATCAGGGTCCTCATTTTACTGACCTCGGAAGGATGGAAGACTGAGTCAACCTTGAGCCGGTGAGACTCAACTGCCAAACTGCTGGCAGTCAGCAGAAGTAGCCTCCAATACTGCATTCTAACCACTGCACCACCAGTTAACTCAATACACTTTTAATCTACCAATAGGCAAACAATATGAATTCTAGAAAGTCTGCTTAAAATATTTAAGCTCCATTGTGAACTGGATGGCAAATGCGTAATACTGTATAGGCCCTATCACAAGAAATAATGATAGTAGGATGTAATAGAATAATCCAACCTTGTAATTTTTATCGTTCCTTCTGCTCCTCTATTTTTATACAAACCATTATCAGTTGAAATATAATATTTATTGCACACACACTTTTTGCCAAGCTAGACTACTGAACAATGCAACTAAAATGTCCCATTTGCTGTCGTCTGGAAGGTCTCTTGAGTGTTGAAACTGCTCCCACAGAGGTCTTGCGTTTTCGAAGTGATGTCAGGTGTTGAAAAAGCTTGGCCTCTCTCATGATGCATGCTAATAAGTCCTACCTTGATGTTCCAGACATTAAGTGATATAGTGTCTGAACTTTTATTAGATTGATCAGCCCATAGAGAATGCGGACACACTGAGAGGCACTGTGGCACTTGCTCTCTAACTCTAGGATTCAGTGGTTCATAGTCTGCCAAACCTTGGGTTGATCATCTTCGGTTAGATTTATTTTTTTGGATGATCATTTAGACAACAGTGATAAGATTATTCATACTAGAGCATCTTAAAATCTGAGCTGTTATTTGATGTATGCATAGAATGGATTGATACAAGATCTGAAAAAACATAGTTAAATTGTATTTCTTAGTATTTGGAAATCATAATGTGCAAAAATTCCTAGCTAGCATATCAAATCATCCAACATATTTGAAGGTGCTAGCTTAGGAAGGTATGATCTTATTAAAATACTTAATCTACAGGTGACTAAACAAGTTCATTTTTTTAAACTTGGGTTGAGTCTTTGAAAATGTGTGCCTTTAAGATCTGCCTTCATTGGTGCCCTTCAAACTTATTGCCATGCATGGCATTTTAGATTTTTTTAAAAAAATGATTTGCAATTGCAAGTTCAAGCTAAGATCATGGAGCTTTCCTAAAAAAATAAAAAATATGGCAATTGTAGCCCAATGTTTGAAGCATGAATAATTGCTAAAAAATTAACAAAAGGGAATGACAATTAGAGTGTTTTGATGAGAGGCATAGTCAATCATCTTCTGATAAATTGGTGCTTTGTAACTAATAATGGTCCACAATCAGTTTTGTTGTGAATAGACAAAATCTCTTAGCACCTCACTGGCTTAGGAGGGTTTTTTCCCCCTGCACCACACTTGTTCTACCTGCAAGTGTAATTTAATTAAGTATTCCAGTTAATTGCATTACTCATTACTTAAAGTTGATTTGCACTTTTTGCTTAATGGGGACTAAATGGAAAGGCCAAGAGAAATATCAAACTCTTACAACTTGTTCACTCAGGACAGGCATTCAACTGCTAAGAACAGAAGGAGCATCAGCAGGTTCAAGAGGCTCTGGGGTTTGGCTGAGAGTCCTTGGTAGTTGCTTGACAGCGCCAATGTTGTGCATTGAACCTAGTTGTTTCCTGTCCATCTGCTATGTTATGGGCAAGGAAGGAGTTTGCATGTTGCATAGGCAGTGCTTTTTTTTTTTTTTGAAAAAAAAAAGTGCCAGAACTCACACATGTCATACAACCTGCCTTGCCTACCCTACAAGGTTCCATCCAAAAAAGGTGCCGGAACTCCGCTCTGGGCATTCTATGACAAAAAAAGCCCTGTGCATAGGTGAAAGGTATACATTCTCTTGTCACACAATAGTCTACATGTGCAGAAATATCTTTTTCGCATTTCCTGTGTGTATATTGCAGCTATTATTCATGGAAAAGGTAGGACTTAAATGTAATTATAATATAGTAATAGTAAACTAGAGAAGGTTGAATGGGGGATTCATAGTGCCAGGGTTTTAACTTCTTTCTTCATGATACTCTCTGTAGATCATATTAGAACCCATGACCTTACAGGTATAGCTGAACAACAGCTTCCAGCATCCTTTATTATTGGCCATGCTGACTAGAGTTGCTGGGACCTGTTGTTCAGCAACATCTGGAGCATCAGAATATCATCTTCCTCTTTCAGAGTTTCAAATAACATTTTATATTGTTATTTGTAATTTTTCATTTCTGGTTCATCACCCTTGTTTTGTCTTTCAGCATGTCTGGAGTGAAAGTGAGGATTGCTTACCTTTTCTGCAGTTGGCTCAGGACTACATTTCTTCTTGTGGTAAAAAGACACTACATGAAATTCTGGAAAAAGTCTTCAAATCATTTAGACCTGTAAGTGCACATTTTCTTTTCCAATGTTTTAGATCCAGTACAGTAGGTGAACATGATATATTTCTTCTACTTCTCATAAGCTGTCTGGCAAAATACACAAAAATAAATGTTTATTTTCAACAGCATCACTATATTTTCTCCATCTCTGGTCTTCCATTTTGCAGACTCCCTGCTGGGGCAGAGATGGACCATACTGACTCCCCAGCCAAATGGGAAATTGTGAAGTTGGGTAAATGTTGGGTCTGAAGAACTACAGACAGGATGTCTATATTGGTTTCTATAGTGAAACTATTTTCTACTATTTTAATGAAATTTCATAACATAAGTGTGTTGACTTTCACCAGAAGAAATAGGTGAACAAGCACTCTTTTTCCTCGTAAACTGAGAAAAAATGTACATGCTGAATCATTTAAAAAAGTTTACTTCATTTTTTTTTATCCTTCCATACTTCTAAAAACAGTCAAAATAGATTAACAAAATAATTTTCTAGCTCTTTGTGGTTTATTTATTCCAAAATAATAAAATATTTTCCAGGTACAAATAGCATGGAAGGTAAGTAGTCTTATAATTCCTCAAATGATCCTACCTATGTTAGTAGATTGGTGTGAGACAAACACTTATCTGTTTTCTTGCAAACTTCCCTCAACCATGCCATCTTTGCCTTCTTTCTTGGCTAACTTTTTCTGAAACAGATAATTACAGAGTTAGATTTTAGAAGCCTTGATTAACTAATAGATGTTGAAATTTTGCAAGCAAGTTCGTGGGTTCTTTTTGATGTTTTTCCGCCAGTTATGACTTAGCCAAACTTTCATCTTTCTATTCAAAAGAGTTCCAGAACTGGTCAAAATAGTTTTCATTTTCATTTTATTAAAAGCTAGATTCAGAGAGAGAAAGGCAATTTGTCTGGAAGTGCCTTCAAATAGAATCTAGTCTAGTTTTGCTTCCTTTAAATAAAAAATATTAAATCAGTGTCTGCAAGCCACTTACTTGACACTTATTTTCATTTTAAATTGAAATATATTATTCCACAAATATTTTTTTCAGGTATGCTCTTGAGTATAAATTATACTTCTCATGTCATTATTTCATATTACACTTATAGTTTATTTCTTCCTTCTTTACAAATAGCTATTGGGGCTTCCAGATGTAGATGATGCCTTTGAAGAATATCATGCAGATGTGGAAGAAGATGAGGCCGAAGCTGATCCCCAGCAGATGGGTGTCAGTCAGCAGTAATATTCAGAGGAATTAAAATATATATTATCTTACCAGGTGGGGTCTTATGCTTCTGCATTAGCATTTTTGAATTAGCACATCCTACTGGAAAACCTGACACCCAAACCCAAAGTTTAAAAATAAAACAGCAATATTATTTTTGAAAGTCTGTGATGAGCTTTGCTAAGATGTGGCGTGAATTAACTCCTGCTTCAGTTAATATTTTATGATGTTGTCTTGGTAGCATTCTGCCATTGTTAACTTTGATTTTTTTTTCTCTCACGGACTTGTCTTTTTTTGTTGTTGATATTATCATTTTTGTTTGTATAGAAGGATTAACATTTCACTGATCTTAATGTGATTTGAATGTTGAACAGGTTAGTGTGTTAAATACTTGCAGGCCCTTACCAAGGACCATCCATGCAGAGAATAAATGCAATCAGCACTTTTGGTTCTCTCTCTCTCTGTGTGTCTCTCTCTCTTTCTCTCTCTCTCTGTGTGTGCTTTCTCACTTTTGTTTTTAAAGAAATATTACAGATTAAGGATCATGTTTCAAATTGATAGCATGCCATCAAACAATGCATTCCCAAGTCTCCCTAACTTTTGTTGGAAATATTTAAACAGGGATTTATTATTTTTATTAAAATCTGTAACAGAGGCACTATCTCCAGCTCCAAAATTGTATGTGTCCTTTTTTTCAACTCTTGCAGTTTACAATGATCATGATTGCTGAAAAGTGAAAGTGGTTTCCCAAATTCCTGTCATGCCCAACCCTTCTTAATATGCTCGACTTAAACTCTGCAGTGCTCAGCTCACCGACAACAGTTACCAGTTCCTAAAAGCCTTGGGAGATGCCATACATTTTTATCCATCTCCTGAAAACATCTTCCTTTCCTTCCTTCATTTTGGTTTAACACTGATATATTATTATAACTCAGGCCATGTTTCCTCATAGTTGGCTTCTAAATTATTTGCAACCTTTGTTAAAAATTCATGCTCATAGTAACAGTCTACGTACAACATTTACAATGTAAATGTTGATTGCAGTTCCAAGAATTATTATGGACTCTAGCTGGAAAATACTGAAAGTTGCAATAACACTAATGCATAACACTAATGAAGGCTGTACCAATTATAATTGGGACTAACATGTGGATGGAGACGAGTATTAGTGTAGGTAGGAGAGAACAGGCATTATATCCAATGTCTAATCATATTTACTTAATTTTGGCCAGAATACTCAATAGATAAATTAAGTTATTTAATTATTGCAGAAGGATCCTTATAGATTAAACAGTTCATGAATATTATGCAGGTTTTTGTTAAAATAAAAATTTTCTGAAAATTTTAATTTAAAGGCAAGAGGCAAAACAGAACTGACATCGATCTGTTTTATATATTTTTGTTATCAAATACGTACTCAGATCTTGCTTTTGTTCTTGTTGTTAGCTACGAAGTCGTGTCCGACCCATTGCAACCCTATGGACAACGTTCCTCCAGGCCTTCCTATCCTCTACCATCTTCTGGAGTCCATTTAAGCTCACGCCTTCTGCTTCAGTGACTCCATTCAGCCACCTCATTCTCTGTCGTCCTCCCTTCTTCTATTGCCCTCAATCTTTCCCAGCATTAGGCCCTTCTCCAGTGAGTCCTCCCTTCTCATTAGGTGGCCAAATACTTGAGTTTCAACTTCAGGATCTGGCCTTCTAAAGAGCAGTCAAATCTTGCTTTAAAAAAGTAAATTAAAAATATAGACTTACTCCTTATCTTCTAAATATATATATACAAGAGGTGGCAGTGAGTAAAAATTATCTTTTGTGACTGCTTTGCATGAGGAATCTATTATTGGTTTGTCTTTTAGTAAATATCAGGCTTGGAGAAATCTTAATATAGAACTTTTCAGTATCTAATGTCAGGACTAGACGGCAGACTTCCTGGGAATTCTACTGTTAATACTCATAAGATTTAATATTCCCCTGACTGATTTTATTTTGTTAACATAATTCTAATTTATCCCTATATAATGATTAGAAAATATAAATAGTGCATGGATGCAACCAAGATTTTTTCTTCAGAAATGTTTCTGCTTGCCTAGGGAAAAAAATGCAAACTTGAGTTGAGAGTGTCTTGGGAATAATATCATCAACTTACCTTCTGGTAAAAGGGTGTTTTGTGACTAAACATGCTGATTTTATGGGAGCTCTACAGTGTGTTTTCAAGTTCCAAATGTAATCATTGGCCCAAAAAGGATGCCAGATTATCCCTCCCAGGTCCACTCACTTCCTATAGAGTAGAAAATCTATAAATCAATTGCAGATTTGGGAGTTCTCTACTGAGCTGATGTTGAACTACATGTAGTACATAACCAATGCAATATTTCATGGATGATAGTGTAACTGGCACCATTCCATGCATTGCATCACTTTCTTGCATTATGACACTTTTTAGAAGCAGCTCTTCTATTGTCACTGTCTTTCTGATTCTTCCATAGCTAATCAAATGTGTCATCCCTCAGTGTTTAAAGGGTGGTTGTCCACTGCCTCTTGGTCGGCTCCTTACCTTTCATCTTCTAATACAGTGTTTCCCAAACTTGACAATTTTAAGGCATGAGGACTTCAACTCCCAGAATTCCACAGCCAGCAACGCTGGCTGTGGAATTCTGGGAGTTGAAGTCCACATGCCTTAAAATTGTCAAGTTTGGGAAACACTGTTCTAATATATAAAAGGGGCTTCCTTCTTTATGGCAGCATAAATCCAGCTATATATCTAGGCAGCTCCTAACCAACAGTTTTATCTATTTTTTAAGACCTGGGTTTGATTTCTGCATTTCAGTTGGTATAATTGATACCTCATGTCAATGTTACATTCATAATCCCTGTTTATATCACTTGGTTCAAAGTTCTTGAATATGTGATGTCAGCATTTACAAAATGTAAACAATTTTTAAAGTTGTATCTCTGTAGCTTTCTCAGTAAATTTACCAACTATTAAAAACAGTTTTCCATATTAAAAAAGGACAAAAATATTTGATCAAAATCAAAATGAATTCACCTCTTTATCCAGATATAACCCACAGCTGGGTTCCTAAATAAAATAAGCATAGCTGTTCATCTTTATGACTTTTCAAGAAGAAAAAGAATATTCTCAATATTTACAAAACAAAGATATATTTTAAAATTTCTAATGATTGATATCATTGTCTCTGCCAAGACTATTTTCAAAAAAAGGTTTTTGTGGATAGTATTTTCTTCTGGAATTTGTTGCTGCTGAAGATTATTTTAAAGGTTATTATCCCTATCCCCATTTTTTTAAACCTGATTCAAAGTAGTGAACATTCTTAATTTTCCTGTCTCCTATTTTCCCCATAACTGCCACTCTCTATGGTGGGTGAGCTGAGAGAGAATGAATGGCTTAAAATATCAAAATAAAGTATACCACACTGCTTTTTGCTACTGTCTTCAACACTGTTTATATTCCATGTCTGGTCTCTAAAACAAATTAGCACTGTAAATCTTCAGATGCATACAGGAAGTAAGTCTTACTTAATGCAATAAGATTTACTTCTAATTATGTTCTTGATCATAGTTTAATAATTCAACCCATATATTCAGCTAAGAAGAAAGTCTTAGATTATGTTAAGCAAGTTTTCATGTAGGGAGCACTATTAAAATAGGAATCGTCTATATTACCTGTTTCTATAAAAACATATACTACTGGTTGGGTTCACATGTTGCAGTATGGTCTGTATAGCCATGGTTTGTAAACAGTAGCTTGGCTAATCCAAACTTTTAACAGCATTGTAGTTCAGCATGATTTGTGAATCATCTCACTGTCAATTTTTTTGTGTGTGTATACATACATACACACATTTGAGACATTTAAAAAAGTTAATTCTTGTCCTTTGATCATTTGTTATTTAACAATTCAGAATAATCAAAGTAGAGTTGAGCTTTTTGGATAATTCATTTTATTATTAACATTCACATCTGTCTGAAGTTTTTTAAACATAACGTAGTAGCTTTAAACTTCTGAAATAAAGTTTTGAATTTAAATCCGTGGATTCTATTTAACACTAGGAGGAGGGCACTAGAAGAAAAAGTAACATGTAATCATACTCTGTCTAGGAAGTGATATAAATTTACCTGCTAGCTGTTTTTTTTAAGGACCTAGAACTACAAATTAGCCAAGTACTTTATTGACTAGTATTTGTGAATCCAATCCATATGATTAGCTTATGTTCTGTATGCTTCATAGTTAGGACAACTGTGCAGTCATGGCAAGTGTAACATTTGAACAAAGCCAGTATGAAAATAAGCTCTTAGCAAGCTTTCTACTTATCTGCTATATATTCTCAAAATTCAGTTATACAGTACTATCATATCTGGCCTATGAAAAACCAGATATCTATTAGACCAGGGGTAGTCAACCTTGGCTCTTTTATGACTCGTGGACTTCAACTCCCAGAATTCCTATATTAGACCATAGCAAAGGGAGCATCTAGATTTCTTCAGCCTAGAAGATCTGGTGGCCCCGCATACATGTGACCAAAATAGAATCAAGAGTACAAAGATGAAACAGATATGTTTGATAACCAGGATGGATACACTAAAAACAGGAAGCATTTTTGCCTCATTTTAATTTCTCAATAAATATATATTTACATTCATTTTAAGAATGGAAAAAAGTGACATACAGTAGTCCTTGACTTACAAACATTATGTCCATTATGGTCATAAGTCAACTGACTCACCCAATTTTACAGCCTTTTTTGTGTCAGTTGTTATGTGAATCACCATGGTTTTTAAGCAAACTCATTGTTCACTATGGGGTATTTTTGCCAAAAACTGGAAGTAAATGCTTTTGGCAAAAATGTAAATCACGGTTGTGTGACTGCAGGATGGTACAAATGGCTATAAAATGTGGGCCAAGCACATGAAGTGCTGTTACATGATGGGGGGGGGGCTGTCAGAACTTAAGAACTGGGTCATTTTGGAGGATCATAACTTTGGCCACTAAACAATCAGTCCTAAGTCAAAGACTACCTGTACAGTATTTGAAAATGCTGTTGCAAAATATGTCCAGTCATTACTGAAAGATTTCCTGAGTTGTGATATTTTGTCCATTCATTGATATCAACCAATATTGCATAACAGCCTGAGCTGATCAGTAAATAACCATAAGATTTTTACAAAGTGGGAAAGAAAGGAGGAGTTTGAAGGAAAGTTTTAAGAGTTTGCAGAAGAAAATTCTAATTAGGTACAAGTTACAACTTTCTGTAATCTAATTCTTACTGAAAGCTAGAGCCTTTAAACTAAGCAGTGCTAAATACATCCAGGTTTTATATTTGGGCACTGCATTTATTGAAGAGAGGAATAGATAATAGGAACATTAATTCTCTGTAGCAAATATGAGCTAAGATGAATTTCTATTAGTACCAAGGCATGAGAGAATCCAGTGACCTTTCCCTACACTGATTTTGAGTTTCCACAATGTCTCAAGGTTTTGTAGTTAGATATCAACCAGAAGTATTTTCCGTAGCCCTTTAACTATGTTGCATTACAATTGTCATCCCAAAATAATATAAATTAGCTAATTGTGAGAAATGATTAACATAGGAACATGGAACATTTTAAAACCCCCCCCAGGTGAGATCTGCCCCCACCCTTTCTGCAAGAGCCTGAAGACCTGGCTCTGCCAGTTGGCCTGGGAACCCAATGGGGGAGTTCCATACTGGAGGTGGTTGCTGGATTGATGGCATGGCCCCACCTCTGCGTTTCCTGCTTCACCCCAGACCATTGTTCATTTCATTGTTTATTTTATTGTTTCATTATTTTGCTATTGTTATGTTTACACTTCTTTTCATTTCTCTGTTTCTATTGTTGTAAGTTGCCCAGAGTAACCTCATGGTGAGATAGGCAGCAAATAAATCCAACAATTTTTAAAATGTTTTATTGTATATTGTTTATTAGAATATTGAACTTTCAAAGCAATTTCATATGCATGCAACAATTCAACAGATAAATAAAGATAATTGGTGGAGAATCTGAAAGATACATGACAAGAAAAAAGTGCAGAGGGAGAAGAAAACCTTTGATTCAGTTACCCTACTGAACAACCATATCTGACTATTTGTCTAAACTTGGATTTGCGCTACATTTTATTCTCTGCTTGGATTGGTCTGTTCTTTGCTAGCTTAGTCTTCTTTGATTTTTCTCTTCTGCTTCTTGAGACACAACAATTTACTTTTCAACTTCCCTTTGCTTTCTCCCATCGAGGAGGGAAGAGTCACCAAAGGGAACTAATACTGCTCATGTTGTTTCCTCACTAATGCTTAATAAGATTCATCAGAAGCCCTTTTTCAGAAGTAGGATTTATTTGGCAATTGCTCCATTTATAGTGGTGCTGTGTCTCTTTGTCTTCATTAACGGTTCATCCAAGAAAAAAAGTTCCAAGAAGGAACAACTCAGATGTCCTTGGGTAATGCTTGGATCAGAAGTTCCAGTTAAATGCCTAGGAAATTCTTTGTCAAACTATATTTTTATGCTAGTTACAGGTAGTCCTCAGACTGTAATGGAGCTTGAGCTAGGTCCATAAAGGAGGAACAGAAGCAGCAAAAAGCTCTGTAAACCCCAAAACATCCCAACGGGGAAAGAATTCAGCTCTAGTAGGGCCGAGTGCCACATTCCATTGCTAGAGAGGCTTTCAAACAAGTCTCAGTGTTTGGCCAATTAAGTCATGCTTAATAAAGAAAACATCAAAAAGCCAGTAGAGGAACAGATTTGTTGAACAGCTAGCCAGTGTGAGATTGTAAATATCTCCAGGCTCTTGCTAGGGTTTGGGGGAAACCCAGGAAGAGCTCCCCAAAATATTTTCCTTGCTTAACCTCTCCCTCCTTCAGAAACCCACATTTCTTCAATAAAATATCAAAAAGCGGGGGAGGAACAAGACTTGTTGATCTGCCCCCTCCTCCCCATTAATGTTGGAACTAAACTCCACCTCTGCCCTCCAATCTCAATCTTTTTTAACCATCTCGTTTGTTAAATTTACTGCATGCCTAGAAAAAGGGTGACAAAATCAGTAAGTTACTTACCATGATGAATAACTACCAAGCTGAAGAGCAGAGACAAGAAAGCAAGCAAGCAGAAAAAATATTTTTGCATCTTGCTTTCATTGAGGAGCTGAAGAAAAAGTTCAACTCAAAAAGTTCAGCCAGCTAGAGCACAACCTATGCAGCATACAGCCAGCAGCAAGAAGCTGATTCCTTTTTATGTAGGTTTATATAGCAATCTGCAATAACTTTGAAATGACCAGTTGTATCCTGAGGACTACCTGTATACATGTGCAAAACTTGCAATGCATGTGCAAACAGAACTTCTGTTTGAACCTCTTTATTGTGTGATACAGATTTTTCTGTGTAACAGTTCTGACAGACCTATTTTCCTGTGATTTCCATTGTTCCCTTCCCATAATCCATTCAACAGCAGAGCCAGGGGGGAAAAAGGGGAAGATACTGATCTGTAATTTGCATTTTGATGGGCTTATTCGGTAAGACTGATGTTTTAATATAGAAACCCTTTGTAAAGAATGTAGAATAGTTGTGATTGGCCATTTTCATACTAGTTATAATTAATTTTGTATTCTTTCAAAAGATGCAAAAATTTCCATGCCAAAATTTTTTCCTACAATTCTTACCTATCAGTTCTCTTAATGAAAGAAACTTTGCTTTTGAAATTTCTTTCAAAGGATAATTGGATTTTGACAAAAATCTCATGGTTGGAATGTGATATTCTTAGATTTACTTCATTGCAGGATGGCCAAGGAGTAAATGTGAATGTCCTCTCTTTCATTGTCCGATAATATCTTCACTGGCCTGCAGCCTTCCCTGTCTTTCCATGCTTCAGTTAAATTCTAAGGGAAGAAGACATGAAAGAACTCCACTGAGCTTTGTCAGATTGGAAAATGTGGACATCCAGGGTTATTTCAGGATTACGGAAAGATGTGTGAGAGAAAAGAAGCATCCTTCATCAGCAACAATAAAGTAAATTCAATTAAAAGAAATGCAGAAGAAAATGTCAAGCACCCTGAGAATAAAGTTTAAAAAAAAGTATTTTTTTCTCAGCGGAAAAAAACTAAGAAACTACAAGGCAGATTTGAGAGTAACATTTTTCTTAGAAAAATTATGGAAAATACTCATTAGCTTGCAACAGATAGAGGAACTGTCTTGGATCTGAAAATATCATTGAGAAGGCACCAGAAGAAACAGCTTAATAAGATTATTGACCGGCGAGTTTTTTTTTTTCAGGTTTCCCTTTCTATTATGCTATTTGACAATGAATAGCGGTATTGCTGCACTTCAAAGATCTCAGTTTTCAAATTTGACTTAACTATTGGTTGGTTTTGATTGACTTTATCTTTTATTTATAATACATGTATTGATCCAAGCACAAAGACATGGAAAAAGAAAAGCACCTCTGTCACAAGAATGAAGAACAACTCTCAACTATTGTCCAGGCTGGTGGAGGATTGCTGGAACTGTCCTTCAACAAATAAGTGCATTAAAGTTATAAAGTGCAACAAAAGCTTTTGAATATTTATGCACAAGAAGGTGCTCTTTATATATCTGAATTCTTTATGTTTTAACAAGATGACCTATGATACACAGAGTAGTTACCTCAGCATAATTAGATACATCCTTGATTAACTAGAATCCAAAAATACTTTGCATATTCAAGTTTATAATTTTAAGGAAGGGAGGCAGGTTTTCATCATTTGTTGGCATCTTTGTGTTTTAGGAATTGTAGTTCAGCAACATTTGGAGAGCTATAGATTCCTTTTTTAAAAGAATACCTTTTAAGAGTAATCCTTCAGTGTGATTATTATTATTTAGAGATTGAAAACCTGTAAAATATATTGCAAAAAAAAGAAGGATATTGGTTAACCTGCTTAAAATTAGTGCTCGTTCAACAAAATCCTGTCCATGTTGCCTTCTCCTAATGCCTGAGCATAAAATCAAAAAATGTAGCTCAGCATCACTATCTTGCCATTAAAAAGCTTACCAAATTTTTCATGATGAAGTCTTTCTTTTCCTTCTACTGAAGAATGTAGATATGTTATGAATAACATTTTTTAAACAGAAAACTCCACACACTGTCAGTTTCTTTAAAGTGGAATGACTAAAGAGGAAAGGCCGAGGGTGATAGCTTAATAAGAAAAAAACAACCCATGACCAAGAATATTTCATTGTAGTTTTAAGTGTCTGGACAAACCCATTATTTTGTTACAGTGTAAGTTTGATCAGCTATATTATCTTCTCTCAACCTTTTGGGATTTGTAATTTGATAACAAAATGAGGGTATCTTCGGAGTCTTCAGAAGATACCTCCTAAGATACCTCATTGGCTCTAGCCATTTCAGAATGTGCATTTCCACCATCTCACCTTTGGCTTTTTAAATCAGTAAAGCAAGGAACCTGCAATTAGTCTGAATTTTTATTGTATAGGAATGTGTAGATGCTGTAATGTTATTGAAAATAAAAACAGTTCATGAGGACTTCGTCTTTAAATTGAAAGCCTGGGAACAATAAAAGTCACTTGAGGTAGTGACTGCCAAATATGTTGTCCAAGAGCCAATGATAGAATATAATTTAATGGTGTCTCAGCTAGTTATTATTAGTAGATGATTCAATAAAAATTAAATGCTGGGAAAATAGATTGGTGACATTTTTGCATACTGTAAAGCTGCATTTACTCTGTTATCTTTACATAGAGCAAGAAAATAGTTCCATCAGAAGTGAAGAGTTACAATAATGTCATTTAATTAGACAATTCCAAGCTAAATAAACCCATAGGAAAAGACAGTATATTATATAAATTAACGTAGAGCTGTGCAGATTTGAAATAAAAATAGATACTTCAGATAGAACAAAGGCTGTTTTTTCCTATCCTAAAGACTTTCATGAGGAAATATTAGCAACATTTCTTGTTAACCTCTAGGGGCCAGTGCAATCTAGATTTTGATCACATTTCAAAGTTTTGCTGTTTAACTTCCTTAGCAATGTAATTTTTGTTTGTATCTTAGAAAATTGGCACTGTCATTGTCAATTGCAAACCACATGACACCTCCAATAGATTGTGAAAAGAAAGACTCCCCAGTCAAGGAAAAACAATCTTGTACAAAGTCCTACCTTTGCTAAGTGAGCAGCAATATTTACATGGACTAAGTGAAAATGTGCAGTCCTTATGATTTATCTTGTCTTTGTCCAAATCCTAATTATTATAAGAATCTCTCATTCCTGATGCTTTCATTTGCATTGGAAGAAGCAGAAACTCAGTTTTGAAAATTGAAGATGTCTTTTATTCAATAGAAAAAGGAGTGAGGATATTAGTTAATTTAAATAAAGCAGGGAAAGAAATAGCTTAGGGCATGAAACAAAACAAACATTAGAAATTAAGTGCTTGCTTGAGGGGCAGTAATTGCATGACTGATATAGAATGGGTGCAGTGATGGCTTTTGGGGTGCAAACCAGGAAATTCTGCACAACCTCAAGTTTGCCCCCCCCCCCACCACACTGTTTCTTCATGAGTGAAGATTTAAGAATATAGTTTAAATTGCACCTAACAAAAAATCTGTAGTTTTTAATTCATTTATTTTGTAATGTTTTTCATAATATGTTAGTGTAGTTTACACTGTAATCAACACTATTTCTTTCCACTTGCAGAAAATATATTCCTCTGTCCACCTGTGTTTATCAGGCAGTCATGGGAATTTGACTTGTTGTCAGTCATTAATTGGAATGAGACTATTAACAGAATGTGGCAATTATTTTAAAAGAATAGCTGTAAATAAATTATTTGAAGCCATCATATTATTTGCCAAAAGGCTTAAGGAGACTTTAGCCTTTTGGCAAATAATCCTAGATTTTAAGAAGGTAGAATAAGTGAGGTCATTCACACATTTGAGTGTCCATTTCATTAAACATTATCATGGAAAATATGTAATAGCAAGAATAATGTGCAAGAATATGAGATCTCATAGTAGACATAGGGAATCCCAATCTGAGGATTAAGTGAACCAGAGGAATTAGAGATGGTCCAGGACAAATTTGTGACATAAGTTCTGGTTTACCCTTAAGTACAATAGCAGTGGTATTGAAATTAGAAGGGGGCCATCCATTGATGTGCATAGGGGTAGAAAAAACAATAATTTCATATAGGAGACAAATTTTCATACCCAACACTTATTTGGCAAGGCAATGCAGCCACAAAAAATTCAACAGTAGTTGATGAGCAGATTTGTGTTTAAAATTATTCTCACAATTTCCAGTAGGTCAACAATTGTTGAATAAATTACCATACATTACTGAGGCATTTATTTAAAGAGTATTATTATTTAAACATAACTATTTAAAGATTTTAGAGAAGATAAAGAGCACATACACAAGCTTCAGTTGGCTAATTAATATTGATTTCTTAAAGATGGAAAAGGAATATCGTTTATTTACATCTCTCACATCCCATCACCCTAAGACAAGCTTTCACACAACTTTGCTTTCTGACAATACTATCAGCCTATTTGTTGGAAGGTAAAAAGGATTGCCAATTATACATCATTTTATGTATTTGTAATAGGTGAAAGATTTGATCCATTGCAAATTATATTAGGAACCAATAGTAGATTTATTATGCCTTTATTATGCCATAGTAGATTTATTATGCTTTTGTTAACCCAGCTTAATCTGGCATAGGAAAAAAAGTCTATTTCAAGTTGACCTATATAAACATGTACAATAAAAGAAAACAAGCTGTATTGTTTGAAAAGGCCATAAGGAAGATAATGAATGCCAATTTTGACAGTACTATTAATTGTAGGGGGTATGAATTAAACTGATATAGATTGTTGTAATTTTATATGAATTTTGCTAAAATCTATGGTTGCAAATAAATGTAGTAAATGTAACTAGTTGTCAGTTGTCAACTTTGTACTTTTGCAAGTTAATATTTTTTTAAAAAAATTAAGAAAAAGGATAAAATACACTTGAAAAAAAAAATGAAACCCAGCTAAATCTCTAGCTATTCTTAAATTGGGACACCAACAGTATGGATGGCAGTTTTGTCACTTCAATTGCTATATGATATATTATAATGGAACAGCTCTAAAAGTATTTGTAAAAATGGTAACACAAAGAAAATTTAAGAAGAAAGAAAGAAAGAAAGAAAAAGAAAGAAAGAAAGAAAGAAAGAAAGATCATCAGGTCCAGTCCAAGCCAGGAGTAAACAAAATGGAGGCTAAGACACTGGAAATAAAATTGAGGCTGTTTGGAAAGAAGGTTCTTGTTTGTTTAATTACTTCAATGATGCAGCAAGTTTCTGGGGTGACTGACAAAATGGAGTTAGGAGTTGATGGGTTTTTATACCTTCTTTGGGCTTTGTATTTGAGGTTGTTCCTGTTACTGTGCAATGTACTTTGACCTGAGCTTGAGTGTACCCTTTTAGTATTCTAATGGTGGTGGGCTAATCCTATTATATCCTAAAGGTCATGTTCCTGTCTTGGAGTCTTTGTTTTTCTAATCCCCTTAGCACCAGCCTTCCTCCCCCAGTTTCCCTAAATGAATTACCAAATCTGCATTTCTAAAAGCTGGTTTCTACTTGGTGGAAGGAGACTGGGAGTGCTTTCTGCCTAAGATTTTTCTCCATTATTCCTTTGGGGAAGGAATGTAATATAATATTCTGCCTTTTTAATTTCCCCAAAATATTTCCTTCTCTAGGAAAATGGGTGGATGCTGACTTCCAACAATCCCCTTTGTGCCATATAAGTGTGGGTGACACATTTTTACTGGCACAAGTTTAAAAATTGATCTGGTCAGGGCGACTTGATGGGTGCTTCTATAGGGGAAAACAAGTTTTTAAACTGTTAATGCAAAGGGGAAGACACTGATAGAGGCAACAGAAAAGGATCCCTGCAGTGGCTCCCAAAAGGGAAGCTTTCAACCCATGAAGGTCTAGAAGCCAGGGCAAAAGTTCTGTTAGGTGGAAAAGAAATTCATAGTGTTCAATATTCTGTGCCACTTCTTTTTAGATGTGAGCTTTCAGTCAGGTTTGCACATATCCCAAAATTCTTCATAGCCATGTTTTGCCTTAATAAATAATTAATGGCTACCCATTTTCAAGGTTTGCTTCTTGAACCTGTCTTAGCTCTTAGTTTAGTGATGTCCAATTGAGGTTAGCCAGTGTGCAAACCAGGCTATTAATATTTCTTAAATTGTACACAGCAAGCCCTAAGATTCTCACTAGTGAGACTACCAGTGCAACATATTCAAGGCTTGGGTTTAGAGATCTCCTTTCTGCTACCTCCTCAGTAAGGGCATGCCCCTCCCCCATGGAATTTGCAGGAAGGTATACATGAAAAGGCCTTAGTGCAGTGGTTCTCAACCTGTGGGTCGGGACCCCATTTGGGGTCGAACGACCAGTTCACGGGGGTCGCCAAACAACACAGTCCGCCATTTTTTCCCCTTTTCCTTAGCTGTGCTACTCCTTTTTATTCTACTGGCTTTTGAAAGCCAATAGAATAGACTCTCTTGAATAGAGTCTAATTCTATTGGCTTTCAAAAGCCAATAGGAATTGTCCAGGCTGTCTCTGCCCTGCTGAGCCCGCCAAAAGTCCCATTCTGCAAACGGTGTTGCACCAGTTGAGTAGTCCTTGACTTACGACTGGTTGAGTAGTCTTCGACTTACAACCAGTTGGAGGTCACGGCATTAAAAAGGTTGAGAACCACTGCCTTAGTGCAATAGAGCAAGAACCAGCCTGGGCAGCTTTACGTGAAGGTAGGTGAAAGAGATAGCCTCAGTGTGATTCTGAATGGCGTGTGTGTGTGTGTGTGTGTGTGTGTGTGTGTGTGTGTGTGTGTATAGCTACTTCTACAAGACATGCAATACAAACATCCTGGATAAATTTTCCCTCACACCAGGCAGAAGTCCAAGGTATTCAGGACTTGCTGTGCCAACCATTCCCAAATGCCATCCCTCCACGAATCCATTCAACTGGCTAATTACAACATAAATGAGGCAAGAAAGAAAACCTTACAATGCATTTCTGCCCTTCCCCCAGTTGTCTTCTGAGGCTTTATATGGGGGCCAATCGCTCCAGGAGTCCTTTCTTTCTCTTCAGCTTTCACAGGCATCTGGGTGATGTAGGACCTGGGAAGATCTGTTCCGCTCTGGTTGCAGAGTTCTAGTGGATGGCTGGATCCAAACCCAATTCCCTGGTTCAAATGAATGGAGGGTCTTCTCTGGAGGCAGCATCTGGATCAGTGTGCTTTGCTTCGAAAGGTTGCTGAGTCATCTGTGCAGGGCTGAAAGATATGAGAATAGGGTCCTCTCCCCCCTTTGTAGGTGACTCTCCCAGAAGAGGCATTGTTGGGTCTGACACAGGAATGGAGAACAGAGGATAAGAAACGGGAGAAGTGGAATGGGAGGGTGGATAGCTTGTAGCAGGATTTTGAAAAGGCATTAATATTGCAGTTGTTAAAGAAAAAGATAAAACCAATCACAACAAAATGGGGACACCACAGATGCGGAGAAAAGAGAAGCTGGATAGCTTGAGAATGCTGAAAGTTCCAAATAAGCCTAATATTTTAGTGTGTACAATTCTTGAGGGGCATGGAGAATCTACCTTTAATATTTGTTTTAAAACATTTAAACATCCTGGCAGTATTTTGTCCAGCATTATCAATACACAATTTAGATGAAAAGACCACATTATTATAGAGATTTAAAAAATGCTTATATGATCTAGGATTAGTTCCATAGTAGTTTTGCTGATTAGTGATAGGATAAGAAAAGTAACTTAATAAGAAACTTTGTTTCCCTACAAAAACAAAGTTGAGCTCATGAGGCTCCTGTGATTGGACATATCTCATGTTTCAGGAAAAGGATAGACAGATAAAACCCATTTGCAAAACATACAGAAAATGCACAAATAAAACAAGCAAATGAACAAAACTTTTCTTCTAATGAGCTTAAACATTCCCTCCTGACAAACTTGGGCTGTTTTAACATTACGTGGAGAAAAGAAAAAGGGGGCACAGTTCTCTTCATCCTGTTTTGCTGGCCAGGAGGGATAGATGGCTTATTTTAATATTTTCTAACAGAATTCAAAATTTTTGTCTCTGGATTAAATAGATTTAACAGTTACATTTACACAACACGCAAAGATTTTAACACATACAAAGACAAGGGAAAGAGAACAGAAAAGGGAAATAGAACTCTTAGTTTTACACATCCTGGTCATTCCCACCATAAATCTCAGGGAAGGCAAAAATCTTAACAAACATTAATTGATTGCATAGAAGAGGGGGAAGAAATCAACTTTCCTATATTTCCATTTTCTTTTAGCTACTTTTTTTTAGCCAAATTGTTTTTTTCCTGCTTCATCGCTGAGCAAAGTCCACTCCTTACACAACCTGTGTGCGCACTTCTTACACATTCCCACATGGATGGGCAATTTGTCCCGGCCCCAGACATCCATTAGCCTCCCTAAAGGAAACCTCAGTGAGATCCTAGATCCTGAGCTTCACATGCTCTTTTCCACCATCTGCGATGAGACTCCAAGACTTTATCCTGGGTCATTCGCAACCTGTGGAATGTACTGCCCACGGAATACACCACCCTCAACAGGTGGAGGTACCTTCCAACCTGTGGTAACCCCTCAGTTTTTCAGGCAAATGGCCTGGGAGGACTCTGTCTGCTGTGATTTCAGAGTACAGATACCTCCTTTCAGGATAGGGCTCTGCTCAGTGATTTTTAGCTAGTTGCCCAGGAGTGAAACTTTTTCTTTCATTTGCACTCACTTGCCATGCACTTTCTCTTCTCTTTCTCAAAAGGTCCTACACTCTGGCCAAACCCTCTTGCTTTCCAGGTCTGACGGTTGAACAGATCCTTTTTGCGGTTAGGAAAGGAGAGAGGAGCAGGATCCAGCTGTGGCACAAAGAGATTCCACCTACACACCTACATACACACACACACACACACACACACACACACAGCCTCTTTTCTCTCCTTGGCTTTTAAAGTTAAAATTTAGAGCTACTCACCTTCTTTCCAAGCAGCCATTGAGCTCAGAAACTCAAAACTCCCTTTACTACCCTTGCTCCAAATGGACAGGGTCTGAGAAGCCCACCCACAGACACAAGGGGTATGTTGCAGGCAAGATGGAGGTTTACCCAAGCTGGTCCATTGGTTAGAGTACCATCTGGGTCCCAAATTGTTGAAAGAAAAATCATCAGATTCAGTCCAAGCCAGGAGTAAACAAAATGGAAGCTAAGACGCTGGAAATGAAATGGAGGCTGCTTGGGAAGGAAGTTTTTTGTTTATTTAATTACCAGAAACTTCAGTGACACAGCATGTTTCTGGGTGGTTGACAAAATGGAGTTGGGAGTTGGTGGATTTTTATACCTTCTTTGAGTTTTGTATTGAAATTTTCCAGTTCCTGTACAATGTACTTTGACCTGAGCTTGAGTGTGCCTGATTGTTATTCTAATGTTAATCCTATTATGTCCTAAAAGTCATGTTTCTGCCCTTGGAGTTTTTGTTTTTTTAATCCCCTTAGCTCCAGCTTCCCCCCCCCCCCCCAGTTTCCCTGCATTTTACCAAATCTGTATTTCTAAAAGCTGGTTTCTGCTTGGTGGAAGGAGACTGGGAGCTGGTTTCTGCCTAAGATTTTTCTCCATTATTCCTTTGGGGAAATATAATATTATGTCTTTTTAATATTCCCCAAAATATTTCCTTTTCTAGGAGGGTGGGTGAGTGCTGTCTTCTAACAGGAGAAATGCATCAGCTTATCTTAGCTTTAATTTAATTTGGACTTTGTATTTGAGAGAGATAAGAATCTGACCGAAATTACACTATACTCAGAATCCCTAAATTATGTTCAAGTAGAATTCACCCTGGAAGCCATTTGAC